GTTAGTTGACATTCAGCGGGGTTCCCATTTACGTCAGATTGTGCAGTGCCATATAGACCTACAGCCGTGCGACCCCTCTAGTTTTACTCGTCTTTACCATTGTATACTCCTAATTTTATAGGCCCAGGCGCAAAAACGTGTGGTCCTACGATACCCCTATCCTCGACTGACCTAAACTCTCCGCTTTAGTTTATCGTGCCTTGGTGGAGTTTCGCACAAATATTTAGGTTTGGCACTGGCGCCTTGTCGTCCTAAGCGAAGTGAAGGAAACGCGCCAAGGATTTTAGAGGAAGGCGATGCTATAGCCTCTCCGCCGCTGTCTATCCGGAATTAGTTTCGCATGTATCCGTCAGCTCGCTTTATTAATTTACTAATTTATAGTATTAATTATACTAGTTAATTTAGTTAGGTAAAGATAAGTTAGATACTTATACTATTTACTACTTATCTAGAAAGCTATAAAAGGGCTATAATAAGTAGGTATTTAGAGTAGCCCTTCTAGAAAGGCAGGTTAACTTAGTATAGGCCTAGTTAAATAATATATAGTTATATAAGAGGAAAAAGGTCTAATTATCTCCTAATAGCACCTTTACTACTATAGAGGATATAATCTGGGCCTAAAGTCTGGATCCTAGCAATATAGATAGTCCGGATGAATCTGGGGCATCCGAATTGCCCAGCGAGGCCGAAAGTTGCATATGGGTGGGCGGCAGAGATGGTGAAATAAGTGGTGATGGTGGTGGCGATGGTGGTGATGATGGTGGTTCGGATGTGGGGGTGGTTCGGATATAGGGTGGGGGAGTTAAGTGATCTACCAGGCGATCGCATTATCTCCTCCACGCATTGCGTCTGCTGACCATGAAGAACCAACCTTACGCATAACAGACCGAGCCGGGTCACCAGCCGGGGGATCTCGTTTAACGGCTTGGCAGCATAACGCGGCGCAGCCCAAGACAGCAGGTGCAGAACGCATCTCCCGACCAGGAATCAATACTTGCACGACCCACAAGATGCCAACCATCCAACTCTGTAGGCGAGAAACCCGGCACAGGCGTTGCGTGCTCCCTATGTTTTCCTACTGTGTTCCTGCATCATTGTTCACCTGCCCTGATCCCATATCTCAGTGGCGTGCTATCAAGGCAGATACAGAAAAGAATCAAGGACGAGGCAAAGGGTCTCAGGCGCCCCTGAGCAGGCGAGTTTGCTGCCGACGCACTGCTGAGCAGCGGTTGGCTATAACTCGCCAAGCAGGAGATATCGCAAAGGCTTGGCACCTGCCCAATGAGGTTACATCGTGGCGATGAGAATATCCCAGCCGTGCGCCTGTTTGCTGCGTCTTTTGCGCTCGCTCCGTCTCTTTCACTTTCTTTTCCGTAGAGCTCGGCTCCTTGCAGTAAGCTTCCCCGTCATTGCATGATATGGCCCGCCATACCGTTGGCTGAGGGTGATTAGACTTGCCCGACGCTGGCAAAAGAACCCTTGGCAACCACGCGACTATCTTCTAGAATGCTTATCAGTAGCTTCAATTGAGAGACATGATTCGATCCTGTCTCGTGGCCCCGCTCCGAACCAGCTGTCTCTGGCTAAGCCAGTGCGTGCCAAGCTGGCCGAAAGCTTGAGCTCTTGAGGGGCATCGCTATGTTGCTGTGCAGCGTGGCATCGAATGCAGGCGGGGAACATGGGAGGGCGAAATTGAACATGCGGTATCGGTATGATATGTTATAAAAAGCGTTGACGCCCACCAGCGCGCGTGTGCTAATTGCGAGATCAACCCGCCTTGCTCCTCTCGCGGTCTCCTCCCTCGTCTTGTCGCGTTCACCGAGTCATCTGTCAAGATGAAGACCACTTACCTTTCCGCCGCCACCTTGGCGCTCGCAACGACCACTTTGGCCACCGATCTTCTCACGCCCGACAAGATTGAGGCTGACATCGATACCGTCGAGTGAGTCGCCACGCTTGTTCAAGTACTGCCAATCGCAGTAGGCATCATCGCTGACCCGACGCTTTTCACACAGGCTTGAGCGCGTCCTCTGGAACCTGAACAAGATCGGTCGCGACAATGGCGGAACTCGCGCCTTTGGCACCCCAGGCTACAAGGCTTCGGTCGACTTCGTCTTGGAGCGTGCCCAGACACGTTTCGCCAAGGAGATGGACACCTGGCTCCAGCCCTTCAATCACACCTTTGAGCAGACCAATGCCATTTCCGTGACTGGTCCCGACGGCCAGGACGTTATCGTCATCAGTGCCGAGTACAACACGGCTACCCCCCTTCCGGACGGTATCACTGCCCCCCTTATCGACACCCCCGTCGACGACGAGAACGGCTCCGGGTGTCTACCTGAGTCGTTGGAGGGCATCGACGCCACCGGAAAGCTCGCTCTCGTGAAGCGCGGCGTGTGCGCCATTTCAGACAAGATCAAGAATGCGAAGGCGGCCGGCGCCCTGGGCGTGATCCTGTACAACCAGGTGCCTGGAGACGACATCGTCAAGCCCACGCTCGGCGCCGAGAACATCGGCCTCCTTGTCCCTCTCGGCATCATCACGCTCGAGACCGGCGAGGCCTGGAGCGCTGCACTCGCTGCGGGCGAAGAGGTCACCGTGACCCTCATTGTGGACGCCATCTTTGAGGAGCGCGAGACGTGGAACGTCATCTCCGAGACCAAGGAAGGCGACCCGAACAAGGTCATCATGCTCGGCGCGCATCTCGACAGCGTCCTCGAGGGCCCTGGCGTTAATGACGACGGCTCCGGCACGGCGGCGCTGCTCGAGCTGATGGGCTCCGTAAAAAAATACCGAGGTTACAGCCAAAAGATCAGATTCGCGTGGTGGGGAGCTGAGGAAAGTGGCTTGGTCGGCTCGTACTACTACACGGAGAACCTCGCGCCCGAGGAGGCCGACAAGATCAAGTACTACTTCAACTACGACATGATCGGCTCGCCCAACCCCATCTACGAGCTTGCCACCTACAATAACAGCGGCATCGGCCCGCAGCTCCTGGCCGACTACCTCGAGGCCAACGGCAAGACGGTCTCGTACGCCGAGTTCGACGGCCGCTCCGACTACGCCGGCTTCGTCGCGCTCGGCATCCCGACGGCCTCCATCTTCACGGGCGAGGGCGAGAACGACCCGTGCTACCACCTGGCCTGTGACACACTCGACAACATCAACTGGGACGCTCTCACCGTCAACACCAAGGCGGCCGGTCGCGCGCTCGCCACGCTCGCCAACTCGCTCGAGGGCGTCCCGCCCCGCGCCAACACGACGCCCATCCTCCGCGGCCGCGCCGGTGTCCTGCAGCAGTTCGGCCGCTGGAAGGCCATGGCCGAGCACTCCCGCCACGGCAAGTCGTGCTCGCACAACGACGTGAACAAGATCTACTGAGACGTGGGCTGGTGTTACCGGCGGCGGTGCGATCGGGCTGGCTGGCGAGTCTGGGTTCCGATGTATACATAGCGCTGAATCAAGAATAGTAGAGATTTAATATGGAAGACAGTGAGAATTGTGAATGTGCATGAGTATCGGTGAGTACGGGTATGAGTAATGAGTATGAGTATGAGTATGAGTATGAGTATGAGTATGAGTATGAGTATGAGTATGAGTATGAGTATGAGTATGAGTAGTGATGAGCATTCGTAACTTGTATGAGAATCTATGAGTGTCTATTAGTGCCCATTTATGAGAACCTCTCCCGAAGCCTCAATGCAGATGATATTTCGCTCTGTTCATCAGTCGGACCGGATTGTGCGGCCACCGAAACCGGTGTCCGTTGTCCATGATCGCCGCTCGCCGGCTGGCGACGGAACTCCACAGTAAGCAAAGCCCCTTTTTACGGTTTGATTAGCGGCGCAGCAGGCGGGAAATTGGGCGCCGCAGTTGTTTTTCTGTTACGCGTTTTGCCCCAACAGAAAAAAAAAAAAAAAGGAAATATCTCACACCGCGTCACTCGCAGGGAACCCGCTGTCCTTCCATCCGCACAACTAAAGCAGGCCAGTCGCAGTTCGTTCAACGTCATAGAAAAAACATCGCGACCGTAGCCATGGCCCAGAAGAAGCACAAGTACGAGTTCGGAGGCCCGTAAGTTTCCCCACACTGCCGCCGCCCGCGCCGGTCCGTCCCTTACGGCTAACCTTGCGCGTGCGTCCTCTCGTAGCCCCGGCGCCACCGCCATCGTCTTCGGGCTTCCCGTCCTCCTGTGGACCTTTTTCTTCGTCTGCAATGACAAGACCGGCTGCCCTGCCCCTTCCACCCTGCGCCCTCGGACCTTGACCTTGGAGAAGCTCAAGGTCGAGACCCCATGGCCCGCGGACGGCATCTGGGGCTTCTGCACCTGGGAGGCCATGGGCTGGACGCTGGCCTACTACCTCCTGAGTTTGGTCCTCTACCGTTTCCTCCCCGCCCAGGAGATGCTCGGCACAAAGTTGGTGCAGTCTGGCCTGCCTCTGAAGTACCGTTTCAACTGTGAGGCCGCCTTACCCTTCGGTATCGTTCCCGGTGACATACGGCTGACATCCCGCCACAGCCTTCAGCGCCTCAGTCGTCCAGCTTCTCGCCTTGGCCACGGGGACTTACGTTCAAGGCGCCCACTTTGTCGTCTGGACTTACATCTCGGACAACTATCTCCAGCTGCTGACCGCAAACATCATCCTCGCCTATATCATCACCGTGTACGTCTATGTCGCCAGCTTTAGCGTAAAACCTGGCAATTCCGACCTCCGCGAGCTCGCTGTCGGTGGCAACACTGGCAGCCTGATCTATGACCTGTACATCGGACGCGAGCTAAACCCACGCGTCACCCTCCCCCTCTTCGGCGAGGTCGATCTCAAGGCTTGGCTCGAGATGCGCCCCGGCCTGACCGGCTGGATCATCCTCAACCTCACCTTCTGCGCTAAGCAGTACCGCTCCTATGGCTACCTCTCCGACAGCATCATTTTTACCACTGCCGTCCAGGCCTACTACGTCCTCGAGGGCCAGTTCATGGAGGCCGGTCTCCTGACTATGATGGACATCACTACCGACGGCCTGGGCTTCATGTTGACCTTTGGCGACATCGTCTGGGTCCCCTTCCTCTACTCCACCCAGACCCGCTACCTCTCCGTCTACCCGGTCCACCTGGGCCCGGCTGGCATCGCCGCCGTCTTGGCCGTCTTCGCCACCGGCCTGTACATCTTCCGCTCCGCCAACAACCAGAAGAAGGTGTTCCGCACCCAGCCCGACCACCCGAGCGTCCGGGACATGCCCTTCCTCCAGACCAAGCGCGGCACCCGCCTGCTCACGGGCGGCTGGTGGGGCCGCTCGCGCCACATCAACTACTTTGGCGACTGGCTCCAGGCCTCGCCCTTCAGCCTGCCGACCGGCGTCGCGGGCTTCCAGATCCTCGCCGCCGGCAGTGCCGTCTCCGGTGCCGTCACCATGCTCGACGGCCGCGAGGTCGTCCAGGGCGCCGCCCGCGGCTGGGGCATGGTCTTCACCTACTTTTACGTCCTGTACTTTGCCATCCTGCTCATCCATCGCGAGGGCCGGGACGACGTCGCTTGCTCCGAGAAGTACGGCGAGGATTGGGACAAGTACAAGAAGATCGTCAGGTGGAGGATCCTGCCTGGAGTCTACTAGGTCAACAGCATGGCAGCAGACTACTGCCTCCTGGTTGATTCATGGCGGAAATACTTAAAGGGGCTATATATTCTTCCTTTAAAATTAAGCTAAATTGAATCAACCGCGCCGTGTTCCAATCATTGCTCCTGAGTGAGAATCCTTTTCTTTTTACTATTCGCAAACCGGTCTCTGGAACCATCACTGCTAAAGGCGTCATCCTCATTATAACAATTCAAAAAACAAGGTCACCAGAATTCCTTCACCCGGACACAGATCTCTAGGGGTAAGTTACCACCTGAAAATCCGGATGGCCCTAGGTGCGGAGCTGTGCTGCTCGAGGTGTTTGGCATCGCTCCGTTTCTCAGCAAGACGTCGACTCCCTCTAGGTCGAGAACCGCAACGGCAACCTGTGGAGGATGTCCAGAAAGTGTGCCTTCTCTGGCTCAAAGCTTATTACCAAGCTAGCAAGGCTGGGTCTTTCTGCCAAAAAGCTGTCATGGCGACGTATCAGCATCAAGGCAGAGATGGTACACAGTATGTCGGGAAATTCGGCCCCGTATTTGTCTATAAATCATAGCGTTGAGATCTTGATTCGTAAAGAGGTCAGCGTCGGCAATGCTGAAGAACTGCGCTTGCTCAAGAAGACGTTATGCCTGGTTGACCAGCATTTCGTCCTTACAAAAGCAAAGAAGCGGTCCGGCCGATATCGACGGGGAGAGGCCAGATATTCGAGAACGGTGTAATGAGAAAATGAGACATATTGTTGTTCACCTAGCTGCCCCTCACGTTTATAGACTGTCCGCAGTTTTGCGGTGATGAGGCATCCGTCGAGTTCGCGAAGTAGGTCGATGTCGTACTGATACTCCCGAGTAAAAGCGTAATCTCCGGAAACGTCGTTCTCAACGGCGCCCAGTAGTATGAGGCAAGGGATGGCAGCGTCAAATAATTTGTTGTTAAAGCAGATCCACCGCATGGCTGAACGGACAACAACCGCATCTTCCTCGGGGATCGACTGGAAGATTCTGTCATAGACATTGTCCAATGTCGTTGGGAGATTTCTCAACTCCCTTCTGATGGCTGTGTTTGTCCCTTTCACTCTTCGACGGGCATCAATTTGACATACTACCCATCGAAACCTGGCATCGTGAATTAGCTCCCGGTGTCATGCTCAAAGTAGGGAGAACTGCAAGACGCACAAACCCTTAGAACCCACACATATGGCTTCCAAAGTTTCATTTCGCAACTCGAGCGGCTAGTTTTTAATTTTGTCGTGATTCCTCAGGTGAGACTCGGTATATAGTCGTATATCAGCGTCTAGTACGTATACCGCAATGAGATTTCTGTGAAGACGTCTAGCATGCCTCCATCAATTTTCAGGTACTCGTGGCTGGTTGCTAACAGTCGAACTTTGGCGAACCTGTGATCAGTGTTGAGGTTCCCGATGACTATGAAAAGTTCGTCTCGAGGTTTGCTCTCGCCAATAATTATGAAGACAAGTTCGAAACGTTCAAGAACTGCTCCGAGTACTGATAATAGGCCCTTGGTGCTCGGTTGGCCTCCGTGTTGGAAAAGTTTCCAGAGAAGGTCAGGAACTAGCTGCGCTTGTCGGCACAGGCGTAAAAGAACCCATTTGAGAAACGAAGACGTCTCGTGTTGATTGTTTCCAAAGTAACAGCAGTAGTAGATACTGACTGACTTTGAATCACTCGAGCCAAGTCTCTTGCAATGTTCCTCGGTGCTTCTGATGAGTTGCGAAGCCAAGATGGGTTTGCCGGCTCCAGGAATCCCGTGGATCCAAAGAAGGCGTATTTTACCGTCGAGGAACTTGGGCCACTCTGGAAGGCGCAACATCCAGTCACATGTTCCAGGCTCGTGGTTTTGACATGCTCGATGGTGGATGGATGAGGGATCAACGTCATTGAGCCATTTGTAGACTTCTTTCTGTTGAGATTCTGTCTTTTCTCAGCATCTTCTTGCGCGATAGTAGCAGATATCCTCTTATGGCTTACCGGTAAGAATCTTTTGAATGTTTCTGATGCCATGACTATACATTCATATATCAGATTCTCGGTGAGCATGATACAATACAATATCTTCGGATATCTACGCTCCAACGTTCTCTCGTTCGCTCCATCACGAAGATAAGGAGCAGAGATGGAGTAGTTGATTAGACTTACGCGGTATCCGTGGCGAGCGCAAGGGTGATGGTGCCTTTATGTCGCACGATATCTTCCAGCAGCTTTCTGGCCTCCTTTCCCTTTAATGGCCAAGCTAGCGTCTCGAGGGTAAGTTGTATGCGCTGGCGTTTGGATTCATTATGAACCTCTTTCTGATTCTGTTCGGAGGGGAGTAAGTCCATTAGATCGGTGATCGTCTTTCGACATCCCTCAATCGGTCCGGATCCACCTGACAAGCCATCAAACATTGATTGTTCTTTATTGCATTTGAGTAGAAACTCCACATTTTTCAAAATCGTTTTCACAGCCGATATCTCGACCAAGATTGCTCGGAGATCCGACGGTGCGTCTTGGACACTTTCGATGTAGTGTTTGCAGATGCCAACCAGCCTATCTGCGATCTGTATAGTAGCGAAAACGCTCGCTGTGAGACTGAAAGAATCCGCCATAATGCGGCCACCGGTCACCATACAGGAATGTGCTGTGAAAAGGAAGGCGAGGGAATTGAGTTCATTTTGTAGGATCGAAATGCGAACCAGGCTACGAGCGGGGTTCCTCACATTGATAGGAGTCTGCCTAACAGCGATTCCTGCGCCTTGAGCCCAACCAGCGCCTTCAAGCAAGCGCCGGTGAAACATCGATGAACACATCGACAAGCCAATAACATGATGACCAAGTATCCACTCGGGGAATAAAAACAACGCCTATGATATGTTGATCTCGAAATATGCATGTAGAGTGACAACAAACAACGCCGACCGCTCACAAGTTGCCGGGAGCTCTAGAGAGAATGTCCATAAGCTCATCCCGCTCCGGCACCTGTCCCATCTTGTCCGGACTTCTCTCATTCTGGAAGCCATCTTCGGGGCTCGCCCAGCTGTAACCCTTCCAGACGCCCAGCGCCGGCCACATCTTCTGCTCCACCAGCGCCTTGAGCTTCTCGTACCTAGCGGTCGCCGCCTCGGCCTCGCTGCCCGCGGCGAGCCCCTCGAGCACATGGTTCCAAGCCGCCACGGTCTGCTCCAGCTCGGCTGTGTTCGTCACGCCCATGACACTGCCACCGACGCGCAGGCCACTCTGGCCGGGAAGCTGGACGCCAAGGCCGGCTGAAGCGCCGACACGGGCGTACTCTTCCATCGACCAATGAAGGGCAACGGTCTCCAGCCGCTCTCCCGCCTCGCTAGCTATCGTCGAAAGCTGCCTGCAGGCCGAGCGCAGCTCGTCCGGCGCCGGGTGCCACGACGCAATGACACCGGCCTTGCCCTCTCCGCCCTCGGAGCTCGAAGGGATGCCGGTCGACGTGAGCAGGCCCATGCCCAGCATGCTGGCGTTGAGGACGATCTGCACACCGGCATTTTTAAACCTCCGCAGAGGGCTCTGGTCGTCGTTGTGGTCAGGGCCTGCCAAGACCTCGGGCAGGCCGAGGGTGGGGTTCTGGATGGTGAAGTGGCCGTAGCTGAGGATGGCGTCGAGCGGCTCGCCGGTCTCGGCCAGGACCATCTCGGCAAGGCTGCAGAGCACGTGGACGGGGAACCCGCTGATGCCGACGTACCGGATCTTGCCCTCGTCGCGCAGCTGACGCAGCATCTGGACGGCGCCGAGGACCTCGGCCGGAGAGACGAACTCGACGTCGTGCATGTACACGAGGTCGAGGTACGTGGTGTTGAGGCGCTTGAGAGAGCGGAGGACGGAGTGGCGCACGTACGCCGGCGAGTAGTCAAACTCGTTGCCGGCGATGCGGCCGGCCTTGGTCACCAGGACGTAGGCCTCCCGGGGCAGGTTGGTCGCAGCAGTGTGGGCAGCCAGCGCGTCGCCAAGCAGGACCTCCGAGGGGCCGTAGTACGGCGACGTGTCGAAGCCATTGACGCCGAGTTCGAGTGCCCGCGAGACAATCTGCCGGTACGGCATCTGCAGGGGGTCCTTGACGTGCTGGGTGTTGAAGGTTGCTGTGCCCAGAAACAGCGGTGGGAGGACGGCCGCGACGGGCGGCCGGGCGGCCGGGTTGTGGGTTGTTGTGGTGGCCATGGCTACACAGGCGGGGTAGGGGATGTTAATTTTAATTTGGCAAAGACAGAACAAGAAGAGAAGAGAGACGGTTCGATGATGGAGCTACGGAGTACTTGAAATTGATAGAGGGGAAGGTTGCAGACTCTCGGGAAATGTGTAGCCTTAAGATGTATGTGAAAGAGGGCTAAGGTGTTTGCTTGCTGATATTGGAGGATCGTAGCAGGACTGGGCCCAGACGTATGGTCTAAAAAGCCAGAACTGGGGTCTGTTGGACTCCTCAAGCAAGGAGTTTGAAGCATGGCCGGTGTTCTGAACAGGTTCTGCGGCACCCCCTCTCTCTCTCTCTGCCGAGCGAGCATACATGGAACACGCAACCATGGACTTCCGCTAACTATGCCACGTAGACTACGAAGGACCCTGTCCCACCGCCTCGGACACACTGACCGAATCTCTGTTGCATGGGGGGCGACGTATGGACTCTTGGCGTGGGGCATCCAGACAAGACTTGGAAGTCCATATCAAAGTCCATGGGCCGATCGCACGCGCGTTCCTCTCCTCCAACTGCCATAAACTTTGCTGAGGTGGGTGACAGTTGTGAAAAGGTTACTATGGTGCTAACCTTCCCAGGATGGCGGGACCCTTGTATCGTACAGTCACTTGACAAAAGTCTGGGCTCAACCACTACCCTCCCACTGGCGGAGTGAGCCCAAGACTTCTGTCATGTGACTGTACCCTTTCTCCTATCGGCCCTCACCGGTACAGCGGCATAAATGGTGGGAACCGTGCATCCATGCGTCCATCCATGCTTCCATCCATGTATCCATCTTGAGACTCCCCGTTTCAACCCGCCGATCCTTGACTCGTCGACTACAGCATAGACAGAGCCGATAGGCCTGGGCTGTCGGACCAGAATGCTAGTAGTGGTGCCATCATCCACTACGTACGCTAAACTAGTATTGTAATATAATCCGTTACTAATTCCTCCACAATGAAAGCCTTTCGGGGTTGCGTCGTCCACTCCCTCAAGTTTCCTCTAAAAATAAAAGCCTTCCATCGTGGAGACCTCATCCGGGCGTCACCTTTGAGCTTCCTTTTCCTTGCTCAACTTGCAAAATCGTATCGCCGTAGGAGATCGATCTTTCGTCTCGCTGGCCCGAGATGTCTCCCGTTGCGTCGCTGGACCCGCGCGTGCGCGGCATCATCGATGCCGCCGCCGACGACGGCATACCCTTCCGGGCGAAGACGGCGCACTTCCACACCACGTGGGCGCGCACCTTTGCCTCGATGCCGGAGCTCTACATCCTTCCCGAGTCGCAGGAGGAGGTTGAGAAGGCCGTCCGGCTCGCCCGCCGGTGTCGGCGGCGCCTCACCACCGTCGGCCACGCCCATTCGCCTTCGGACTTGACGTGCACGAGTAACTGGCTGGTCAGCCTCGACGGGTTCAAGAAGGTCTTGTCTGTCGACAGTAAGCACAGACCCCGCCCCCAAACGTTACAGCCGCGTAATCGCTGCCGTATGCTAATGCCCGCTCCCAGAAGAGACCGGACTGGTTGTCATGCAGGCCGGCATCCGCCTCTGGCAGCTGACAGAGGAGCTGAACAAGCATGGCCTCTCGTTCCCTGTGCTGGGAAGTGTCAATGAACAGACCATCGCGGGCGTCATCAGCACGGGCACTAGGGGCAGCACCTTGAAGTACGGTCTGCTCTCCGAGTCCATCGCATCCCTCAAGATCGTTCTGGCCAATGGCGAGACGGTGTCATGTTCCCCTACTGAGAACACTGATCTCTTCCGCGGCGCCTTGCTGTCGCTCGGCGCCCTCGGCATCATCACCGAAGTCAGCTTCCGGGCCGTGCCGGCGTTCAGCCTGAAGTGGCAGCAGACCATCCAGGCGGAGAGCATCATGCTCGATTCCTGGAAGCAGAACAACAAACTGTGGACCCAGTCCGACTTTGTTCGCGTGTGGTGGCTGCCGTACACCAGACGAGCCGTGGTCTGGAGGGCCGACATCGTTACCAAGGAGGACCTCGAGTCTGGCAGGGAGAAGAACCGAGATCCGCCAGTCGGCTACTACGACGGGGCCCTCGGCTATCACATATACCACAACCTACTTTACCTATCACGTTTCATTCCACGCATTCTCCCCTGGGTCGAATGGTGAGAAACCCCCCCCCCCCGCCCCCCTTGGAAAGCAACACAAGGCATCCAACGGATGAACGTAAGCTGACAAACCTCAGGTTCGTGTTCGGCATGCAGTACGGTTTCAACGACGGATACACGTCGGGGGCCGTGCAGCCCATGGACAAGGCCCTCTGGATGAACTGCCTGTACAGCCAGTACGTGAACGAGTGGGCGATCCCGCTCCACCGGGGTCCCGAGGCCCTGATGCGCCTCGGGTCCTGGCTCAACAGGCTGCAGCCGGGCGACCCCGACTATGTCGATCACGGCATCCCCTATTCGGCCGAGGGCCTCTACGTCCACTCTCCCGTCGAGGTGCGCGTCTGCGACGCGACCGTCAACACCAGCGCCGAGAAGGGCAACCGGCCGTTCCTCGACAGCACGATCAAGGACGGCCCGACGCTGAACCTCAACGCCACCATGTACCGCCCTTACGACCTCGACCCCCCCGGCCTGCGGCGCTGGTTTGAGGGCTTCGAGTGGCTGATGCGCGACCTGGGCGGCAAGCCGCACTGGGCCAAGAACTTTGATGTCAAGAACGAGGAGTTTGCTCAGTGGTACGGGGACGACATGGTGCAGTGGCGCCGGGTCCGCGACGAGGTCGATCCCGACGGCCTCTTCGTCGGGCCCTGGCACCGCCAGTTTGTCCTGGACCCCGCCACTCCCCGCCTCCCATTCGAGGAGGTCGAGAAGACGAGGCACGACGCCGGCAAGGGGGTCACTGTGTACGGCGCCCGTGCGGCACTTGATGATATTGAGACGGCCGAGAAGGCGTGAATTACGTAGTAATGCCAAGATGATGGAAATTTGGATACACAGACAATCATGTTACGGCGAACGGCGTAAGTAGTTAGACAATCAACAGCGTGCATCTTTGACCTCGTCCGAAACAATGCAAATTTCCAGCCGTAATAGTGAAGCCCCGGAGCCAGTGAGACATCGGCCGCGGTTGGGTTTGATGACGCTCCTCCGCAGATAGATGAGGACCGCTGATCTCAACCTCTGAACGGCTCAGACTGTAACAAATCTGGCTAGTCGTCTCCTTGAAGTTTTTGTTTTTTCTTCTTTGCTTTTTCTTCCTATCAACGGCTCGGAATGTAACCGATTCAGCTAGCCGTCTTCTTGATGTTTGTTTTTCTTGTTTTTTTTTTCTATCAACGGCTCGGAATGCGACCAATCTAGCTAACCGTCTTGATGTTTGCTTTTTTTTTCTCCCGCACCCTGATGCTCCAGTCATAAAAGATCCTCAAATATTGGAGCATTTTCCTCTTTCGGTACGATCGCAAACACGGTACAGTTTTACCCCCACGCACACGCAGGTTTGGGGGTTACGGCGTTCACCGAGGGAGGCGCTCAATGTCGACGCGCGCGGGAATACCGTCGGATAAGTCAGCCAAGTTGGCCAAGTAATACATAGGTCGCATTCGAATACCTCAAAGGGCAGTAGCGCCAAGACCCCTGCTCGTTCCTCTGTCGGCCGCATCCGAACGTCGCAAGACGAACAAGCCCGTGTTACAGTCTTGGAATCAAGGCTTCGAGAAGGCGGTTTGGAAGAAGGTAGAACAAGGCTGTTAATGATCATCATAATAGCAATAGATCAGAACTGTCATAATACGAGAAGATAATGGCCTCAATAATGGATGATGATAAGTATTGCAACGGCAAGAAACAAACTGAGACAAGTGACAGAACCAGGGGGGGGGGGTCACTCACGGGACAGGCGTCAGGTCCGCGTCCATGGGAAGCGAATGGTGTATAGAGGCGTCAGGGAAGCGGCGGGTGAATGTCAATCGCCAAGGTTTGATGGACATGGCAGTCAATGCGGCTCGTATGTTCTTATCCAGCACAACACTCTTACCTACTTCACCTCGTTGCCGTAGGGCTGCAATTAGAGCTGTGTAGTTGGATGGGAATCCCAGCCGCGGGCTATATATCATCGCTTATTATCTGCACCGTTTAGGCTTATTCTTGCGCCCGTACATGCAAGCGACTCAAACGCAAGGGGTTAACTCTAATGCATTTTAGAAGGGACTGAGTCATTAGCTTTTCAGGCAGCGCCGGTCGAGGTTGACAGGCGTAGCAAAGTCGGGATGCCAGCGTCAAATGCGTTTTTGGTTTCTGTATTTTCCGATGCACTCGTTTTGCGGATTTAATCACCGGCTGGAGTCTTGGATTGATTGATGTCTGATTTACGGGTCTTTTGGCGAGATTCTCTTATAACAGCCGGAAAGCGAGTGAGAACTCTGATTGGCTGGTGCTGGGGGAAACATGTGCATGAAGATTCGGCTGCTGTTTGCCGGTTTTTTGCGCGTTGGTATCCGTACCAAGGGCGGCCTGTCGCAGCGCCCAAGATATCCATCGACATTCCCTTAATGACAGGTCGATATGATGTTCGAGACATTCCTTGTGCTGGGTCCAAGGGCAGAAAACGTGGTAGCGACCCGGCTCGCACTTTTCTTGGCGATAACAGACAGATTCCATGGCTGGAGACCGATTCGACACATCCCCCAGATAACAAGCTCACCGCCCCTGCGCGGCGCCTCTATAAGCCAAATTGAGACGGCTGGTGGCATGCACGTGGGGAGGGGGGGGGGGGGGGTATATGGATGATACTCTGTAGATACCAGAGAACTTGTTGAACCCACTCAGAGCCAATGACAGACAGATAATGGCACATTCGATGAGAACCCCCCTTCCCTTGTCACGTCAGCAACTACACTCAAGGGGGGTGCAATACTACTACAACACCAACTCTCGCATCCCATACATTCGGGTCCCTGAAGTAAAGTTTCATCGAAGTGGTTTGCACTGCACCGAGCAGCGTGTGCTATGTTTCATCGGGCATTTTCCGCCTACGTCTGTCCGAACCGTAAAAAAGTCCTGCTGCTGCTCGAGTCACGACAAACGAGCCTCAAGGCGGGCGAGGGAAAAGTCGGAGGATCATGGCAATACTGGCGCTTGGTAGCAAGGGGTTGAGACTGGCAGTGCTTCCACGGTAACACGTCTGATCCGTGGCAAGAACCGGTGAGGAGCACGTCAGAGTCGAGGGCGCGCGTTCCGTCAAGTTCATTTCCGAGAAAATCCATTAGACGCTGTGAAAACCCCAAGATATTCTAGCACTTTCGTGCCGGGCTAAGCTGGTCTCGAACAGCGCCCAGATCTCCAGATGGTCGAAGCCGTCCCAGATCCAAGATGCACGCACGGGGTAGAGGTCGGAGTAGGACCGCAACTCCGGAATTGCGAGGACAGGCGTGACCCACGCACAATGGCGCGCGGTAGCTGTGAAAAAATACGACAGCGGACAGGCAACGAAGCTTACGAGAGGATATGATGCGTGCCAAGGTGGGCGGCACTGCGAATGGCAGCCAGCAGGATGCGGCCCAGGAGCCGCGTGCCGTGTAAGGGGGTCAGGGGCCGGGCTCCTAGGAGAAAAACAACATCTGCAACGGCTGGCTGTCAGGGACGCCGGTAAGATTGGCTAACTGCTCCATAATTATGAATCTCGCCTGTAGCGCGGACGCCTTATCACTCGGGGTCTTAGTATCTCGAGGGACTACATAGTAAGGCGAGCTTGAGTGAGTGAGGCCGACTTGAGGGTAGTTTCAGCCACGGCGCAGAGAACGTGGCGGCCACCCCGTTGCGCATGCCATTCAGCAGCATTGATCATGTTTTGCGATATGCGATACCTGTTTCGGTCGGCAGACGCCTTCGGCTCCCGTGTCTTTCTCGGCCGGAACAGCATGCCCCCTTCACCCCACGGAGTGCGTGTCCGTCGTTGCAAACTTGCCACACATGGGGGCGGATCAGGGATTGAAAGAGGGAGAGAGATAGCAAGGCGATCAATAATAGCCTTGCCATAGTAATAGCAATTACAGAAGGTCAATGTCTGCTGCAAAATGCAAGCGAATGACCGCCAACGCAACGCCAGAACTGCGGAGGATCCAACGTGATCTGTGATCCGCCAAGGTTCGTCCGCACAAATACCAAGCAGCTGGGAGCCTCAGATAAACATCACGTCGAACCAAAAAAAGACGATCCGAGATTAACGTTGTGTGCCAGCCAAGAGATGCCAAGTCGCCCAGGGGGGGTTGGCTTCGTCGGTACATAGCATAACTGGTATGTGTTTGTGTGCAGGTATGTGGCAATGCCCGCGCGGCTGGTTGGCCCACCACACACGTAGACACCACACCCACGACACTGATAAGAATAAGTACCTACCTACCTATTCACCTGCAGCTTGGCACTTTGTGTGACTCTCGAGGTGCGTCAGGGGTACCCTGCTGCCAAATTCAGGTCAGAACAGTCGGCTCCTCCCGACCAGAAAGTCGGGTCCAGTCGAGTCGAGTCGCTCTTCGACGTCCAAGATAGACCCCCTGGACCCCGGCTCAACATGCCCAGAATGGCAGCCGATTGACGACAGCAACGACAGGGGTATGAAACGGGCTCCTATTCGCCCCTTCAAGCTTACGTGCTATTCGTTACTACGTGATGCTGCATGTGGACCCCCAGTCGGTGTGGCTGGTGAGCAAAAATGCCAGGTCAAGGAGGCTCTGCGATACCTAGCTTACTGGGCATTCATCTATTGGGTAAAGCTACCATGGCATAAACCTAATGACGATATCATCGTCCTCCCTCTCCCACAAGCCCTTTGTCCGCCCACTTTCCGAATAGGCCGCTCCCTCCCTCCCTTCTCGTCCGCGGATGCACATCCACCTGTTGCTAGACTTGGACTCCAAAATGCTGTTTCAAACGAACAATCAGCTTCTGCCGAAGAACAGGTAACATCGTTCCATCACAGTCGAAGTCGTCTCCTCTCTTGATGCGGCTGCCATCTTGTTCCAACTACAATTAACTCAAATACCCCCCTTCTGCACCACCCCCACATTTACACCATTTTCACCACCATCATCACCACCATCATCACCACTTATTTCACCATCTCTGCCGCCCACCTATATGCAACTTCCGGCCTCGCTAGGCAATTCGGATGCCCTAGATTTATCCGGACTATCTATATTGCCGGTATCCAGACTTCAGGCCTAGATTATATCCTCTATAGTAGTAAAGGTGCTGTTAGGAGATAGTTAGACCTTTTTCCTTTTCTATAACTATATATTATCTAACTAGGCCTATAAAAAGCTAACTTACCTTTCTAGAAGGGCTACTTTAGATACCTACTTATTATAGCCCTTTTATACCTTTTAAGATAGGTAATAAATAGTATAGGTATCTAGCCTATCCTAGCCTATCTAGTTAAATAGTTATAATTAATACTATAAATTAGTAGATCCTTTAGGTGTTAACTATTAGATAATAGATATAGCTTTATCTTACTATTAGCTACTAGTCTGCTAGCTAGGCTAGCTCTATTAGGCCTTAGTTACTATAAAGTTAGATAGAGGGCGCCTTATATAAATAGGCTATAATCTAGCTAACCTCTAGCTACTACTAATATTCTTACTTATAATAGCTACTTTATAGGCCTTAAAATAACACTCTAGGAATACCTTTTTACTAGCTATAGTTAAATCTGTAACCTAGTTATCTAGATATCTAACCCTTTAGTAATAGGCCTACTTTAATAGGCTAAAAATAGCTATATCTAGAGGCTAGAGGATAGTAAAAGAGTATAGTAGTAGAAATAGGAGATAAACATAATACTACTAGTATTACTATATAAACTTAATAGTTATATAGCTATAATACCTATCTAGGATTAATAGTCTAGCCTTTTCTAGCTAGGTAGGTATAGTTAATAAGATAAAGACCTTTTTTAGCTATTTAAGAGTAGTATTATTAGTTATCTAACTATTATTAAAGTAAGTAAAGTACTATTTTTTATATTTTAATAGGTTAGATAAAAACTACTAGGCCTAAATAGACTTCTTTTTATATATAACTAATAAGTATAAAGACCTCTTATTAGTAGATATATATTTAATAAGGGAAATCTATACCTAGGATCCTAGCTATTATTTCTAGATATACTATAATTCTAAAGAGCCTATTACTAGCCTATTAGACCCCCTACCCTCTATAATACTAGTCTTATCTATATTCTATTAGTTAGATAGATAAATTCCCTAGATAGTAAGGATATTAGTTAGGCGCTAGAAGAATTCTTTAATAACCTTAGAAGAATAGGCTGCTTATTACTAGGTATCTATTAATCTAAAGCCCTTAGTTTTAATAAATAGATTTTACTACTAGAATTAGGCTATCTACCTTTTTCTAAGAGGAGGATGCCTATTACCTATTATACGCTCTACTAGGCCTTTTACTTATTAATAGTTAAGGGACCTACTAAGAGAGTCTTAAAGAGATATATAGGCAGCTAGTATCTCCTCTTGGCTCTAGGATAGTCACTATAGATAGGTAGAGGTAGTGCCCTTAGATTACCTACTGTAAAGCTAGTATTAAAAAGTATAGTATAAGATACCCTATTTATAAGCTGCCTAGCAGATAAAGTAACTACTATTAATATCTAGAAGTGCCTGTTAGAGCTAATCTTTAGTATATTACTTTATAATAGGTTAAAGAAGGTATACTAAGAATTTAAAGTAATTTAGATAACTATAGGAAATATTATAATAGTTTAAAAAAAGTAGTAATATTAATAAAAGAGGAGAGTTTAGGTAGTGTAAAAGCAGGGGTGGTGCAGAAGCGGGGTATTTAAGTTAGCCCGACGGATTGAGGCAGCAGCCGTTTCAGACACCGTGTATAATTCCGTCTAAGAGAACAGAAAAAATTAAAAAAAAAAAGAAGGCTGAGAGAGATTCCATACTCAGGGATCAGACAAATGCAGTGCAGAAGTATCACGGAGCTGTCAAGGCTCGGACGGTACTCATCCAGAACCCGTCCTACTGCGATCGTGATTAACCACACGCGCTGCACGCGCGCTTGCCCAGCGTCTTTCTACTAAATCTACAACATGTGGTCCTTCTTGGCAAGCCGCAATATGCATCTACAGCAGTATCTCAGATACATCTTGACCAATCTCCACGGGGAGGCGCCGGGTTGATCGACATTAAAGTTTGCTCCAGCCGTATCGAGTTGTACCTTGGGTCTTCTCATCCTGCGTTAGACGGAGATGAAGGCAGTTTGGGGGATATGAGCCAAGACCGCCCGCCCGCCCGCCCGCCCCCCTTGCCCGCATCACAGGGACGGCAGATATCAAAGGAAATCAAGCCAGCGTGGGCTATGTCCACGCCCCCTCCTTCCGGTAAAACTTGACCTCGTTCCTGACAGGTGGAGTGCATACATACGCCTCGCTTACTGAGGCTGTTTGGACAACGACATTGCGGAACAAAGCAGCTGGCATCCGCCATGTTGCTTGTGTGTCGGGTGCAGAACCCCTCGCATCAGGTTGCCAGTTGAATAGGCAAGGGGCCTGCAAAGTATTGGTCCACTATATATTGTGGGTTATTTTGAGACTGCGACTTCGTAAAACATCCCTCCCTGGCCCGGCGGCCACGTTCAGAGTAAATGACAGGCTTCTCTGATATTCCCTCCCCGACCAAGAGCATGGCTTCACCTTGCGAGCAGCCCGTCCGCCACCCCCCGGCCACGGCCAGGACGCTACCATGGCAGCAGCGCTGCCCGCGGCCCTGTTATGGCTGTTAGGCACTTGTCGGTAGATCGCCTATGGTCGTATCGAGCCGGGGGTTCCCTGCGCACCAAATTGGGTATCCGCTTTCCGCCCAACTTATCAGCCTTTCTCTATTCACAGTTTACACAAGAGATATCGAGAGTCGAGGCAATCGACCGAGCACCTTTGATCAGTATTAAAGTGCGAATCTCCTCGCCCCCTCCCATCACGCAGCCCATTAGCATCAACAGGATCATCAACTACACTTCACCACAATCTCTTCTTCTTCTTCTTCTTCTTCTTCTTCTTCTTCTTCTTAAAGAATCAACTGGTTTGGTCAACTGAATCTGAGCGGGACTCAGCTTACTGCTTCACCTTGATAAAGAACCAAACAAAGTCTTCTTCATCTTTTTTTACCACAACTCCCTTCACAATGGTTCCTCCCCGTTCTGGATCTGCTGCTGGCATGCGCAGCCGTGGCCCGGTTGAGCTCAGCGTCAGCCTGGCCAAGTCATATGAAATTCGCGGCCCCAAGTCGCCCATGCCCAGGTCTCCGCTGCGGGATGCCACCCACGAAGATCGTGGTGCCCGTGCCTCGTACGAAGAGCGCCTCGACGGCGCCATCCACGTCCTCCGCACAGAGGCCAACGCCCTCATGGCACTGACCCAGCTGTACTCGTCCGAGCGCGTCTGCCGCGACGGCTTCTACCGCTCCATCGAGGCCCTCTCCCGCCACCGCGACCACCGCGGCAAGGTCGTCTTCATCGGCGTCGGAAAGTCTGGCTGGATCGCCAAGAAGCTCACGGCCACCTTCAGCAGCTTGGGCCTCCCCGCCGTCTTTCTCCATCCCACCGAGGCCCTGCACGGCGATCTCGGCGTTGTTGGGGAGTACGACACCCTCATCATGATCACCTTCTCCGGCAAGACTCCCGAGCTCATGCTCCTGCTCCCCCACCTCAACAAGAAGTGCCCCCTCATCCTCCTCACCTCGCCCACCAGCATGGAGACGTGCGAGATCGCGAAGCAGCGCCCGGACCTGATCCTCCTGCCCGCCCCCATCCCCGAGTCCGAGAAGGACACGTTCGGCGTGTCTGCCCCAACCACGTCGACGACCATGGCCATCGCCGTTGGTGATGCTTTGGCATACGTCGCGTCCAAGGAGATGTACCCGTCCGTGTCTGCCGTCTTTGCGAAGAACCACCCCGGCGGCGCCATTGGCCAGGCCTTCAAGACCAAATAGACATCATGTCGCGTCGTTTTCGTTGCAATTTGTTTTTCTATCCTTCGGAGGCGGGGCGTCGCCTGGCACAGAATCTTTTGGATATAGGGCCCAGAGCTCATTGCTCACAGGGGCGTCCGATTTTCATTGTACATATCTTCGGACGGAGTCTAATTTGCTACACTGAGCGCTTTCCTTTGCAATTTGCTATAGATCTCTTCTTCAACAGTTCGATACCACAATCTGAACCTTGGCACTCTCTTTGACTGTCTTTTCAATATTAAAGATTAAATACGACGTACTTTTCGGTTTCACTACTCGGCAAGCTGCTTTAGGAGCTAGCTCCAACTTACTGGTAACATTTGGGGGTTTCGTAATCAGTTCGCACATGTGCACAAGGTAGAATAGCTTCTACCCCAGGGTTGTGAACGAGGAATCTAATCAACTCTGCCAAATTGAAACTGCTCTCATTTCCTGGAACAAGCAATGTTGTCATTTCTACTCAGTTGGCCCGGTTTGCAATAGAACACAGTTACTTGAGAGCCTCCTGCTGTAGATGCCTTCATTCCGCGTGCTCTATAGGGATCATGGGCATGGGTTTAATAGGGATTGGTATACGAACTGATTTAAATTGACCATAAACCTTTTTATGCTCCTAACAAGTTTATTAAATTACTATTTCCCATTCGATATGCGGACGTACGTCATTGCTATTAGTCGACTGCCGTTGTTCGTTGAATTATGTGGATTCTTAACTCTTCCTTTTTCTTCATTCTTTCTTCTTCTTCCAAGTAGGATGAGCGGCAGTCTAGACGGGATGAATGTTAGAAATGCCGTCACGCTAATGCAGGATTACAGTGAGACAGTCTCAGATGAACCAGAAAAACTTCCCTTTGTTTGTAATTGGACCCAACGAGCCGCTTTCTTCTCCTCTTCAAACGTATGGCACCAATCGACATTGTTTGCGGCACAAGACGCGCCAATTCCTTTGTATCAGCCCCCAGCTCGTCAACGTGCCGCGTTGCCGCCAGTCGCTTCCTGCTTCCCGACTAGGGAATCAACGGGTCTCGCGAGAGCCTCAAACACCACTTAACGTGTGCGAGACGTGCAACAGGCCGGTGGGCGACGGATTGCGTTGTGTTATTATCTCCAGAAACATAAGACTCGGCATCCACTCTCGTGTGCCATTCATGGGCATGTTTGACTTTCCGCCGCTGGTACCCATAAGGAGAACGTACAGTTCCTTCTCCCATGCAGTCCGGCCCACGTCATCTACGGCGTAGCCGCCAGTGGTCTCTCTCGCCTTATCGCTGGCAAGCAATACCATGTCGTGTCGGACTCTTTCCCCCCTGATGATCACCCGTGCATACTATTACCGAGGAGGATTTGCGAATGGTATTAACCAAGCAGGGATTATGCAAGGGTATTCCTGGGCAATCCAGAAAATGTCGCCAGCGTTTCAAGGGCTCCATAACCAGGGTCTGCCTCTGTGGGATGAAAGCGCCGAAAACGGTTTTTTGCATAGTTTAGTATACATGCTGTAGCTCCGTAGTGGGGCCTTGTTGCTCATGTTGATTCAGGAGCCCTCGCAGAGATTAATTGTGTCTAGGCTATCGCTGCGGCTACACTATCCCAGTCGATCCAAACCGCTGGGGTCCCCGGCCGGAGGATCAGCTCATCAGCCACCCCGGGCTGATGGCGGCTATGACATCCTGTACCAGCTTCGCTGGGTCTTGGACGACGACGTCGAAATGAGGTGACTCCGGCAGCCCCTTACAGCTTGTGGTCCTGATAGATCGACCCCGAACTCGGCCGCCTTGTTTCCCTGTCTCTGCAGTTATCACTGCATGAGGCCCATCGTTGACTGACCTTTCTCTTCCTCACCCCATCGCTAGGAACGATCAGTATGCACCATCACCATGTCGGCCTTTTTGCAAGTACCTGACTCTGCCAGGCTACACCTCTTCCCTTCGATAGTGCAGAAGCAGGCCAGATTCGCACCTCTCCCATCATCGGATCCTCGGCCACTGGATGGTCGGCTTTCCCACGTCAATCCTAGGAGTTCATGGATGCGAAGAAGCCAGCGCTTCCAGCCACAACCGTTTAACAATTTCTCTCGCGTCCAACGCCTGAGCAGGCTCTCATACTACCCCGTTGCCAACGAATATATCGATGGCGTCTTCAACGAAAAGACGACGCTCCCGCCGCGGTGGTCGTTTTACGTGCCCGACTTTGACTTCGACGTCAAGGAGTTTGACCAATATGACAATCCCGAGAACGAGGAAGACGTGCCCAAGGCGCTGAAGGCCTTCCGCGTCGACTTCTGGGAGGGAGATCCGGATGACCCCCAAAACTGGTCGACTGCCTACCGGATCCTCGTCATTGGCATGTTCGCTCTGACGACGCTGGCCACCGGCATCTACTCCACAGCCTACTCGAGTGGCATCCCCCAGATGTCCGCTGACCTCAAAATCACCAACCAGTCGCTGCCTCTGCTTGGCATCTCTCTTTACCTGGTTGGCCTAGCTCTCGGGGCCCTCATCATGGCGCCACTGAGTGAGACCTTTGGAAGGAGACCAATGTATATCGCCGGCCTGAGCGTTTTCCTAGCGTTGATCCCAATTGCTGCGCTTGCGACAGACTTCACCATGGTGATTGTTGCGCGTTTCTTAGGGTAAGCTTCTCCTCTCATTCGATATCTGAAATCGTATATGCTAATAGAACAAAGTGCTGTTGCCGGTAGTGTGATGCTTTCCAACGTCGGCGGGTCCATCATGGACATCACCAACCCCAAGTACCTCCCCCTTGCGATGTCGGTATACTCTTTCGGTCCTCTCAATGGCCCCGTACTCGGACCGCTCATGGTAAGTAGCAGTTCTCAAGCGCGCATGAATTTCATCTAACAGCTCGGACAGGGCGGATTCTTGGTCGAAGCTTGGGGCTGGAGATCACTCAACTGGATGTCCTTGATCTCAACAGCCGTTGGGGCTCTCTTCATTATGACCGTTCCCGAAACATACAGGCCCACGCTTCTCCGGAAAAAAGCAGCCCTGAAGCGAAAAGATGAGAATGACAACCGATACTGGTCTGACTTTGACGACACGGTGCCCATCTTTCGCAGAATCAGGACTGCTGTTTCCCGACCTTTCATTCTTTCATTCACTGAGCCCGTTCTAATGTTCTGGAACATTTACATCTCCGTCATCTACGCCATCGTCCAGCTGGCCTACGTCGCGTTCCCCATCGTATATCGAACAGAACGTGGCTGGAGCACGGCCATTTCTGGGCTGGCATTCATCGGAGTCTTTGTCGGCATCGCGCTGGTTCTCGCGACGGAGCCGCTTCTGAGGAAGCTGGTAAACCGACAGCCAAAAAATCCCGAGACTGGTCAGCTAGAACCAGAGGCCACCGTCCTTCTCATTTGTATTGGTGCAGTGCTGGAGCCAATTGGCCAGCTTTCGTTCGCTCTCACTTCCCTACCTATAGAAATTCCCTTTTACTGGAGCGTCTTGTCCGGCGTTCCCTTCGGATATGGCTTCGGCCTTGTCTTTATCTACGGAACTAGTTACATCTCCAAGGTCTTTGGCATGTACGCCACGTCCGCGTCTGCGGGCAACCTTGTTTTCCGATCAATCTTGGGCGCCGTGCTGGTGCTGGTGGGCAAGAGCATGTACGCTGCCCTGACGCCGCGGATTGCAGGCATTGCTGTTGGCGTCGCCGAGGTCGCGCTGATGCCGGTCCCTTTTATTTTCCTCAAATGGGGAAAGAAGATTCGGCAGAAGAGCAAACTCATTCGGACATTGGAGGAGCAGGCGAAGAAGATGGCATAATATTCCCTCTATACTGCGGTAAACCTGAAGATACCCCTTTCCCAGGTCAGCTACTGCACTGTGAACCAGTCACATTCTTGTAGATTAGATTTTCTCATACACCGTAAATATTAACAGAAACTCGCGGTGGACGAGCTACTATCACGACCGTATACCACTGTCATTGCGCGATATTTAAATTGAACTAATGATGCGCTGATAGAAGCAGCTCAATGACCACTCTTTGTATGTCTAATGTGCGTGGTTCCCTTTCTGTGCAGACAAGAGGCCTTACATGCACCTACGTAATCGGCTGGCAATCATACAACCAGTCAAGCGTCTTAGTGAACCAATCTTTGAGAATTGCATATGGTTTCCTGCATGAGCATGTTTGACCCGACGTCGCGTTTCCGAGGCTCGCTCATCTCGACCCCACGTCAAGTAAAGGCAACAGCCCAAGCTGCAAATGCCTGTTATAAAGCGAGCACGTCTCAAGAAACATAATAGTTGCAGCCCGGGATATTTCCGTACTCTGCTTCATAGTCGGATGTTGCGGTAAGAAAATAAAGCGTATGTTTTACAGCTGCATCCCCGACACAGAGCCAAAGGATCATCTCGAACGCGTCTGAAATCCAAGACCTGTCAAATTCCCAGTCCGCAACATACCGTGGTGTTTTAGGTAAGGTACTATAGATCACGTCGTAAATGTGGGACCATGAGTATATAGCGCCAGCAAAGAATGGTAGGATCCTCATACTATGTGGCGTAGAGCCCGAGGATGCCGAGATCCTTGCTTGGTCTTGGCTTCTCCTACTTTTTCCCTAAGCTGGAACGCCTCCCCCACAAGGCGATACGCCTGCCCCGTATAAAATGCAGCCGACCATGCATCAAGTGTTGTGCTGCCTCGTGGTCGGCTGACTCGACATGATATTCTTGGTAGCATAATCCTGGCGAAGATCTCCGCTATCAGTTGGATATGAGACCAAGCCAAGCTTTGGATACACCAGTTTCCGCAGGACATTATGAAAATAACACATCTCTAATATATGTAGATAGGCTCTCGGGCTGTGAGTGAAATGCCTCGTATCCTCGTCAGCTCGAAATTCCAGCCGTTCTGAAGTTGGCCTGAGTAAGTCACATAGTCTGAAGTATTGTCCTCGGGCCCCATTGTAATAGACTGTCAAACAGGCCAAGCCGTGTTGACTTAATTTATAGTGTATTGTTGCACTTCATCCTGGGGATTCATTAAAGATTGCCGATCGACTCTTTCAATAGGAAAGCCAAGGGTTTCGGATAGGGTTCTAGTCGTGCTGGGTGCTACGCGAATTGATAAGACGCGTTGCCCTGCCTTGCCGATACCAACAACAATGCAAATGTACCTCGCAATGGCGTCACATCGGTCGCAAGTGTACGAACGATAGTCTAATTAAAAGGGCTGAAAGAAACCCCGCTTAACTATATTAATTCGTTGGCACAATCAAATGGCACTGCCAATCTTGTAGCTGAGAATTCAATGGACTGGCAGCAACCATTTATTGCCATTCTACAAAGCTTTGCATCATAAGCAAGGCAGCAAAAAATAGTTTGAGTTCGAACCATCTCCAAGCCCTCTATATTTGATCTGCAGGCGGTTCCGTGCTAAGACTTTCGAGGGCGAAGAAGCTACAAGGCAATTAATCGAACATCAGCCAATCTTACATATATTATGCCCTTCAATCTGTGAGTAGCGGCACCAAGGGTCTGCTCATTCTACCTGAGAGAAGTAGCACGGAAGAAGAGGTCGAATTGCTAAGGAAAATGAATCCTTAACAAACGTAAACGAGTACTAACCCATCAACTTGCATTATACATGAATTGACCATCAGAACTTTCCAGTCATTTGAGACAAGCGGGCCATCCTCTCTCCGATAAGGTTAGTGATGCTTTGGACTGCAGGTCCGACCAGACCAGCAAGAGGTGGACTAGTGCTCAGCTTGTACTAGGTAGCTTTTATGCTCACAACGATCACTGCCTTCTGGTCCGAAAACTCCGCATAGGGGGCTTGATACCATCTTGTTGATCACGCCAAATTTGTTATCTCGTAACTGAGCACTAGACCTAGACAACCGCCGTCATGTCAGCACTAAAGCTCCAGCTCCTTCTTGATCAGCGGTGTCGCCACCTCGGCAGCCTATCAACCGTAATTAGCGTGAAAACATACTCTGCGCCACCTCCAGGTTTCTAGCTCTATGTCGAAGGTGCCGCCCGCCTCTAGTTCTCCTAAAAAAATATTTGTCCCTTCAACACCAACCATCCTGGTCTGCAATAAGTTACCTACAGATATTAGTGAAGCATTACACACTCGTGATGGACCGCGCAAAGCTCATCGACACGCTTGCATCGGCACAATCGTCGCCGAAGAGGCCAATACTGACTCTCATGAACGGCGATACCACATGGCTCGTTTCCGTCCCCCGGCCCGCCGGCACGAAGGGCAAGGCTTTCTACCACATCCTCGTGGATCCTTGGCTCGAGGGGCACGCTGAGGTCGGTTTCGGCTGGGTCGTACGTCTGCAACTCAAGGAGAAAGCGGCACTCGACAGCATCGAGGCTATTGAAGACTGGATTCGGGAGATTGAAACAGTTTGTGGGACCACGGACGGAGAGCACGAGCAGTGGCTCGATGCGGTTCTTGTCACGCATGCCAACCTTGATCACCTGCACAAGCCGACGCTGCGGACCCTCAGCAAATCGGCACAAGTCCTTGCTGTGCAGGAGGCGGCGACGATGATATCGTCGATGGACCACTTCGAGAATATCATAGCGGTGCCGGATTTCGTCCCCGGCGAGGAGTGGCCGGCCACGCCCGATATGCCCGGATCGTTATCGATTTTCCGGCTCCAAAGCAAGGGCGACAAATACACAAACCTGTGCCACGCCGTGATAATCGGTATCCCGACCGAAGATGGGAAGAGCGAAGCTATCCTGTACACCCCGCACGGCGTTGAACCGGAGGCGGTCGAAGCCGTAAGGAAAGCGAACTCGGATGCCAGTTTTCTGGCGATGCTGCATCCACTCAATAAAGCCGGCACCATGGGCTTCATCTCGAGAGGGGTTGCAGAGGGGCTGAGGATCGAACGAGAAAATTCCGTCCGTCACTGGGTGAACACACATGATGACAATATTAGCTTCTCGGGGGTTTTATCTTATATAATGCGATACGGGCGCGCGACGTTGGAACAGGGTCTCAAGCAGGAAGCCAGGGAAAAGGTTGAGGAGCAAAGGAGGCCAGACTACATAGTGGTTGAAAATGGTGGAAGTCATATCTTGACTTGAGAAGACGTTATTACGTGGTTTGAAACAGTCTGTCAGCCATTGTTGGTGACGAGTGTGGTGTCAATAGGCGTGTGTATATTTCAAAAAAGCAGTCCGAGTTTTGCTATTGAACATTTTCAAAGACTTAAAAATCATTGAGTCCAGGACGCGAGCGAGGAAAGCAAATTGAACAAAAAGTTTAGTTCCGAGACAATACAAAACAATCTCTCGACGGGGAATTAAACCCCGGTCCCCTGCAGATCGTTCGATTGACAAGCAGATATCCTCACCACTAGACTATCGGGGATTTATAGATGTTTTCATCTAGTGATAGTTAGTTAAGCCGACACCAAGCATTACAACTATAAAGTTTATACTACCATTAAGGATAGAAGTTAGGGACTGCTTTAGATGTAATTTCCTAAGTAGCTAACTACTTCTTAGTCTACCTATAGCTAAGTATCTAAATTACTATTGAAAGTGCGTAGGGCATGATGGGACTTTTGCGGTGCGGTGACTATACAGAACACCTCAACCATCAAAAGCAACACAAGATTCCTTGCTAGTCGGTGCACATATTACGTCAATCAGTCCATGACTTGGCCTTAATCACAAGATCTAAGTGCCCCAATTGACCACTGTTGGTTAATCACTAAGAGGGATATCCTGTAGATCACGTAACAAATCGTGATACAGAATGTGGTTGCTTGTTGTATTAGTTAGTTACAAAGTGAATCCAGACTTATAGGTAGTATACTAGTGGTAAGGTGGATACTGCCAAGGGAGGCAGTGTGTCACGTAAATATTACGTGACTACCTCCCCTAAAGTATACCTACTATATACTAACACTAGTAACTTTTCTTTTATAGTAAAAGTTACTAGTGCCCTAGCTATCTAGATTACCTTTAAAAGGCCTAAAAACGTAATAAAAATTAAAACTCTAAAAGTATTACACTTCTTATAGTTATATACTATATATTCCTATATCCTTTATTTTTCTTTATAGATAATATAGGCTTATACTAACTTATTTAGGGGCGTTTCTTTTTAGCTATAGCTATTAGAGGTATATTCTTATATTAGTTAGATTTAACTACTACTATTATAGTCTAGTTAGTTATATAACTTATAATTTATTTTTTATTATATACTTATTATAATCTATTATACCTATATAACCTAACCCTCTATATATATCTTAGCTTTATTATTTATAACTAGGCCCTTAAGTGCTTAATTTAAGGATACTTTTATAAATCTATTAGCTAGATTATTAGATCTAGTAATCTATTAGACTTTATAAAGCTTATATTACTTATAAGACTATCTTAGTAATATAATATTAATTATAAGACGTTTCTCCCTTATAGTTCCTAGCTTAACTAGACATTTATAAAGTAAATATAAGTCTATATAGGTAATAGTTAGGATTAATAAGATATTAAGCTTTTAAGTAACTATTATAATAGTTATAGATAAGGCATAAGCTATATTAACGCCTATAACTATCTTATATACTTTAGATACTAAGACGCTTTAGGTAACTTATTTAGACTTTATAAATAAGAAATAAAGGATATTACTATAGAGAGAAAACTTAGCTTAGTTATTATTAACTTCTTTATTTATAAAAAAGATAATAAATCCTAACTATAAAGTTATATTATAATTATTAGTAAATAATCTATTTATAAATATAAATAGCTTAGCTAATATAAGATTTAAGGGAATAAATTATAGACTATAGTTAAGTAAGCTTATTTACTATTATAGTTAATAGTTAAGGTCTTTAATTACCTTATTATCTAGCTCCTTATATTAGGCTGTAATAAAAAGATTATAGTATACTTTAGGCTAGTAAATAAAGGTAATATATACTCCTTATACCTATTACTAGATAAAATCTTAGTAGGCTATAGGTAACTTTATGTTAATTAATTATAGCTTTACTTTTTACTTTTTCTAGTATAGTATAATAAAAGTATTTATAGTAAATATAACTATAATAATCTTACTATTAAAGGTAAGTAGTTAATTAATAGTAAGGGAATAACTTATCCTTTATAGTGTAATGGGATGGGTCCGCGTTAGTCGACGTCCGCCGATAAGGTACAGTCAGCAAACGATCTAGGCTACGAGCGCCACTTGTGTTGTCCAAGTAACCTCTCCATTTTTACTAGATAATAAGAGAAAGTAGGGGTTATATATAGTAAAACTATCTAGAGATTTCTTTATAGTAATAGTTATAAGTAGCCTACTAGTACGTACCTACCTTAGTAATCCTATATAGAGGCTTAATAACCTTTATAATAGTATTATTAAGGTACTTATAATAGATTTAGGCTAGGAGTTTAGTATAGATAGTATAGTTAAGGTAAGAAGTAAATTAAATATAGGCCTATATAATATTACGTAGCTATATAACTTTACTATTAATAAGAAAAAAAAGGGCTAGTATAAGGATAAGCTATTAGCTAGCTTACTAAATAGTAAGTAATTAAGTAAGAATAGCTTTTTTACTATTATTAGTATAGCCTTAAATAATAAGGTGTAATTTCTTATAGGGCTTCTTATTAATACCTTTTACCTTATTTATAATCTATAATTTAAAAATTTACTTATATAGTTAGAGTTAGTTAATTATAGTAAATTTAAAGACGCCTTATATAATAAGGCTGTTAATCTTAGTAGCTACTAATTACTTAAATAGCTTACTAGGTGCTATAATAACGCCCTTTTTATATAGTTAGATTATAAAGGTTTAATAGGCTTCTTTTTTTACTAAGAGGAAGGTAGTATAGGGTATATTAGTCTCTTATAGTAAAGTATATCTTATAGGGATTTTCTTAGCTTATTAAGGTTATATAATAGTAAGATTATTAGTATATAGCTACTGCCCTAAACTAGTTATAATAATAATAGTATCTTTAGTAGGCTTATTACTATAACTATTATTACTATTTAGAATAAATAAGGGATATTACTTAGCTAAGCCTCTTTCTTTATTATCTACTATATAGTATAGCTTAACTAATATAAATTAAAAAACATAAAGGCTATTAATATTAATAGTAAAGTCTTTACCTTAAGTAGTAAGTAATTTATATAAGCTAGACTAACCTCCTTTCTTATACTAGACGTAGATATTACTACCTAAAGGTAAATCCTTTATTATAGAAGTATCTAGACTATTATAAGTAGTAAAAGCCTTATTAATCTATTACGCTACGTTATATTTATAAAAATTCTTAGTTACTTTTTAGATAGCAGTTATATATTAGATTATCTTAAGTAAAAAGGTAAAGTTAGTAGTTATATAGGGGTAGGCACTAAATACTAGTAGGGTAGGCACTAGGCTATTTAGGCTAGTAGTATTATTAATTACTTTAGCTACACTCTAAAGTGTAGATTTATAGTTAATAGATAGGTATTCCTTTTAAATTATCTTATACGCCTATTAGAGTATAGTGTAGTATCTCTTAACCTTCTTAATACTATAATACACTTTAATAGGGATAATCTTAACTTTAACGCCTATTATATAGGCTTTATATAAAAATTTAGTTAAAATAAAGTTCTACCTTATATTAGTAATAATCTAATCTAAAGGTCCTTAGTAAACATTAATCTAGTAGTAATATAGTGCCTCTTATATAGTCTTTACTAAAATATTATAAAGAAAGTAGGCTATATTAAAGGTAGTAGTAGTATTAACTATATAAAGTATAGGGTTACTATTAAGGTATATTATATTAATAATAATTTTATAATTAAAGAAGTAATTATTATATAAAGTAAATTAAAACTAAGAAGGTGCCTTACTATAGATTTAGTAGTAATAGTAGTACTTTATTAAGTGTTTAATTACTTTTATTTTAACCTTATAGCTAGCCTTATAAAGGATCTTATATAGCTAGTAAATTAATAAATAGCTAAACTATTAATAAAGGCAGTATAGCTTAACGTTAGTTAGGTAATAACTTATAAAGCTTTACTTAGGCAGGCTAAGTAGTATCTATAGGTAGCCCTATTTTTATATAACTAGCACTATAAGTTTGCCTTATTAGAGAGTATTTATAAAGTTATTAAATTAAATTAATAGCTAATCTATATTAGCTAAGTAGAGTAAGAAAGGTGTATTAGTAGGTATTATATAAAAAGTAATATACCTAAAGGGAGTCTTTACTATAATAGTGCCTTATAAAGTAATAGTATTACTATTACTAAATCTAATCTTTACTTTACCTATAGCTATAGTATTAATAGTTATAGATAGTTAAATTTACTATAGTGTAATAGCTTATAAGTAGCCTATAGTTAAATAACTTACTACGCCTATATCTAGTAAAATACCCTAAAAGGTAGCTAATAAGTAATAATCTAATATAAAGGTGCTAGGTAACTTAGTAAAGGCGCTATTAGGGTTAATTTTTATTAATTAGTAATAGATAGCCTACTTAGTAAGGTTAGTAGTAAGTGCCTTACTATCTACCTTAGCGCTTCTAAAGAACGTAGTTAAGGTGTAAAATACACTATTATCTTATTCTTTATTATTACTAATAATAAAGTAGGCCCTTTAGAGATACTACTAAAGATCCTTATTATTATTACTATTTTTATCTTTTTCTTCCTATAGATAGGTGCCTTTATAGCTAGTAAGGAAGGTGTTATATATAGTTAGTAAAGTATCTTTAATATAATAGTTACCTTTAAATTACTAGTACGCTTTACGTCTTTTATTAGTAGTATACTTTATTAACTAGCAGCTAGGCTTATAGTAAATATAGCACTTTTTAGTATTATAGCTACTATTATTATTATTACTATTATAAAAATTACTACTACTATAGTTATTACTAAACTATTAATAACAGCCTTAGCCTTAGTAAGTATAGTCTACCTAATATTAATTATTAGGTAATAAGGGTAAGAATTTAGTAAGGTACTAGCTATAGTAAGGGCGCCTTATAGTAGTACTAATAGATAACTATAATTAGCTATATACTCCTTTTAATATTAT